CTATGTCAGAGCTATATAATTTTATTTATTTAATGATTGGTTAATTTAACCTACTAAAGTAATGTATTTTAAAATATATAATACCATATATGCCAATTTTAATAAACTTGAGGAAAAAACTATTATCAATTTTAGTTTCAATATGAATTTTAAAGATATCTCTTTGATTATAATTGTTTTCCAGGCCAGAAGTAAGACTCTTTAAAAAGCCTAGAATAGATTCACCTGCATCTGTGCTTTCCATAACTAGCGGAAATGGTTCCTCATCTACAGTTACTTGTTCAGAAACAGAAATAGAGGAAAGAAAATTAAGTTTTCAAACCAGGTAGGTTTCGGTTATGAAATTTCTGTTACATTCTTAACTTCTTTTGTATTAGGTATTTAATTGAATTTTAAACACATTTCAACTATTTTTTCTTTGTAGTTCTGTTCTTCCTTGCGTTTCAAGTAAATACATAACCTCTTATATATTATTTTATATTGATACTTGAGATAATAATAATCTATTTTTCAGAAAAAGCGGAATCAAGGCACCTAAAGCAAAACTATTGATTAATAAATTGAAAAATGCAAACAATATGATTGTATACAAGAAGACAACTATTAGAAAACTTAAAAAGGAAAATTATCTATTAAGGGGACGATTGCAATCATTGAATGCCACATTTTCATATCTGAAGAGTCACAGCTTTTTAAGTACAAGTGCTGAAAAAATTATTGATGTAAGTAAACATAACCTTAGTAATTTATAATTAGTTATATAATAGAACAGAGTTGTGGCAATCTCGAACAGCTGAAAATAGGTTTACAGACAATTTTTATTAGCCACAAACATTTTAGTAGTAGAAATAGAATCATTTTTAAGCAACTTCAAAAAAGGAGGAGGTTCTCAATTCGTCGGAATATTTTTTATGTATGTTCAGCAATGCTTATTTACCAAGTTATCCGATTTTTTGTTAGAAAGGGGGTACATCAGGGGTGGTCCCATATAAATTGGTCTAGATCTATTGATGGCGTCTATGAGAAAATTCAGCAAACTCAATTTGTAATGGCCGAGGTAATGGCATCTTCAAGATTTTGAAGTCGGTTTTTTAAAATTACTTTTAACTTGTTGAAATATAAATATGGGTAGTTGTACTCTTAAGTTAATTGTTGTTAATATGTATAAAATTAACAATGTGGTTATTTTTGTTTTTCAGGCTGCTCTACCTACTTCAGCAGGAGTACTTTTGAAGAGAGCATCAAAAGGAATTTTAAAAAATAAATCGAATAAACTTTCTCGAGAAAAATATGCTCCAGAAATAAGATCTTTTGCTTTGACATTAAGTTTTTATTCAATGAAATCTTATAATTATGTTCGGGAAAAATTCAATAACACTTTACCACATCCTGCTACATTATCCAAATGGTATCAGTCTGTAGATGGTAGTCCAGGATTTTCAGAACAGGCTCTTGTTATAATAAAGAGAAGGGTTATGGAATTTACTGATCAAAAAAAGGAAGTTTTGTGCAATTTGCTAATGGATGAAATGGCTATAATGAAAAGAGTTGAATGGAATGGGAAAAAATTCACTGGATTTGTGGATCTTGGATCAAACAATTCTCTTATTGAGGATAATTCAGAAGCAAAGAATGCTCTTGTTTTTATGTTAGTTGCAATAAATGACCATTGGAAAATACCAGTAGGCTACTTCCTTATTGATGGGTTAACTGGCATGGAACGAGCATCACTGACACGCAAATTGTTGTCTTTTTTACATGTTACTGGTGTTAAAGTTACCTCAATAACATTTGATGGAGCACAATCTAATTTTAATATGGTAAAGTGTTTAGGAGCAGATTTTCAGGATCCTACAGCACTGAAAACATCGTTTGAGCATCCAGAAACAAAAGAACCTGTTTACATTTTTTTAGATCCTCCACACATGCTAAAGTTATGGCGTAATTGTTTAGCACATGTAGGTACGTTAACAGATAGTAATGAGAACTTTGTAGAATAGCGGTATTTTCAATCCCTGGTAGAACTTCAAAACGAAGAAGGGTTACATGCAGGGACAAAAATTAGAAATAGACACATTAAATTTAAAAATGAAATCCAGAAAGTTAAGATTGCTGCACAGACGTTCAGCAATAGTGTCGCAGATGCCCTCAACTTTCTAGAGAATGATTTAAATCTAAATTATTTTAAAGGTTCCTCCTCTACAGCTGAGTTTTGTAGAATTGCAAATAATTTGTTTGATATTTTTAATGTGCGAAGAACCTATTCAACGCAAAAATATGGAAAACATTTGTCAACAGAATCTGCAAAAACAATTTTTGATTATTTGGACATATGTAAAAATTATATTCTTGGCCTTAAATTAAATGGATACCCATTATTATATTCACAACGCAAAACAGGTTTCTTAGGGTTTTTAATTTGCATTGAGAGTTTGAAATGTTTTTATACAAAATATATTGATGTTCCAGAACCATCCTTAAATTATTTACTGACATACAAACTATCTCAAGATCACATTGAGGTAACATTTAGTGCAGTGCGTAGTTTTGGGGGTTCAAATAACAATCCAACAGCAAGGCAATTTGAAGCCATATATAAGCGACTTCTTAGTCACACTGAAATTAAAGGCAGTAGATTTGGAAATGCTATACAACTTGATAACACATCAATACTAAATGTATCTTCAGTGACTACTAGTAATCTCAATGAAAATTTAGAAAATTCTAACGAATTCATTACTATGTTGAACTCTTTTGATCAAAGTTATATTGAGCTTTTTAACAGTTTTAGTTTACCTCAGTTCAGTGATGATGTGGTCGCTTATATAGCTGGATTCGTTGTTAAATGTTTAAAAAAATGTATTGTATGTACTTCTTGCTTAAATTTATTGGAACAAGAAGAAACTGTGTCCTTGTTGCAAATAAGAAAAACATTTGGAAAATTGGTTAATGCCTCAAATTTTGTAATAAATATATGCAGGACTGCAGAAAAATATTTCAGATTGTTTTTAATAAAAGACAACCTATTTTCTAAAAGACACAAAAATATAACGACTTTTCTTGTATTAGGTGCCATTAGAAATATAGATGATTCCATTTTTGCAATTGCGTTAACCCACTCAGACGATTTGTTAAGTGAACATCCTCTACAAATTATTAAATTAATTTTAAAACATTATTTTAAACTCAGAATTCACCATGAAACGTTCAAATTAAATGATTCCAAAACAAATAGAGTGAGAAGTTTGCTAACAAAATCTGTTTTGTTTCAAAACCAATAAAAAAATGTATTCTGTTTTTCTTTTTTTACAATATTTGTAACTTTTATATTTTTTTATATTTGTTATAAAATAAATACATTAAATCAACTTTGTTTTATTTTTGTGTTATATTGCATAGATACAGTAGTTTATTATATAGGTAGCCAGTTTCAAGAATGTTCAAAATTGTTGCTTTTAGACATTTGGACTGAGTAAATTGAAATTTATGATATACATACAGATCACATTTTCAAGCTCAAATAATATTTAACTCGGCATCAATAACTAACGAACTATTATAAAAAGGTAGGTCATAAATGCTACTATATTATTATTCTCTTTGAACATATCGAAGCGCAAATAAAAGTTACTCATTAGAAAACAATTGAAAACTCTTTTTTTCAAAACCAGCACATGCCCGCATTAACTGTGACAATTAGTGCTTAATTGTATTTACCGACACAATTTGTGATTTCCTACAAAATGTATGTTTTTTTGCGTTTCCTGAAAGAAAAAAACTGATTTTGGACATGTGTCGTTTTTGTCTTCATACCTATAAAACTATAAATAAGATGGAAATAATAGAAAAGTCCTAACGTTTGGATACCTAACTGAAGATAGAAATTGCTTCCGATTATACCAACTACCTACTAAAACTTTTTTATCTCTATACAATACTAAATTGATGTAAATTTATTTATTTAACGCAAATTCGTCAACTGAAATAAGTTAATATATTTTAAACCCTAAAAGTAGAGACGCCGCTGATAATAAAGTACTTTAGTTCCCTTCACCCCCCCTTTCCATATTCCCCCGTTGTACCAAAACAAACTGTATTGGATGCTACCTCTATGAAATATATATGCTCGAAGCCTGCTATAAGAATTTTTTTACACCTCTCATCGTGTAGTTCACTTATCTTTAACGATTGTATAATAATAATAAGACGATTTCACTGTCAATAAGTAATGCATTGGTAACCTTTAACAAACCGTGTTGGTAAAGCCTACGGTTTCCTAGGAAAACGGTACCATAAACGAGCGGTCGTTAAATAACGCTGTCTTTCGTTTTGCATTCGTGTGGTTTTTTAGGAAGCGGTAGGCAACAATAAAGCGGCACCGTCACTTGATTGCGCCCGTCATAGCGGTGATTGATAGTGTGTGCAACGTTTTTCTCCGGTACGAGGTGAATTTATTGTTTATTTGAAGCAATTTTTGAACATCGAAAAATTATGTCGGAAAAAAATAACAAAAATGTAGTGGGGACATTAGAGGAAAATGAAATTTTGATTGATTTCGTAAAAAATCATGAACCTTTATATAATGTTAAATCTAAGGACTATAGAAAAACACAACTGAAGCTTAATCTATGGAAGGAAATAGCAAACATTATGGAAAATAAAACAGGTATGTATTATTTTTATATTTTTTTATATTTTTTATTAAGTAGGTACTTCTGTTATTACAACAAAAATACATTATTATCTACATTAACACATTAATATTGCAAAAGAAGATTATTTTGCCATGCTACCTGACCTGTCCCATTAAAATAAGTTCTGAATATATCACGAATTTCTGTAGGTGATTTTCGAGCACGAACGCAGTTTCCCGTCAGTGGCAACAAATTCTTTGTTGGTAATAATAAATCCATGTTTTGTTCATTAGGAGCGAGTACTTTAGAATCTCTTAAAATGTTATATAAAATACACGCGGATGTAACCACCCTATCAGTAGTTTCCGGTGCAGTTGCAATTGGTTGAAAAAAGACTCTAAAATAGGCGCAGAGTATTCCAAAGGTATTCTCAGTCGTTCTTCTGGCTCGGGAGAGTCTGTAATTAAATATGGCCTTGGAGTGATCAATTAATGATTGTCTTCTTGGATATAGAATAGAATGTTTATTTATCAAAAGATAATAAGTACAGAAAGTAACGTAGGTAAATTATGAGGTTATGGTTTCATTAAATTTTCGTGAAGTGCAAAAGCTTCATCACCAACGATGACGTGCGGTACGAGAAAATCTGTCCCTGGGAGTGTTTGAAGAAGTGGTATATTAAATTCGTTATTTTGAATTTTTCTTCCAAATTCACTTTTCAAATAAATACCAGCGTCTCCTTCTCGACCATAAGAACCAATATCTACCGCTATAAATTTAGAATCTGCATCGACAATTGCTAACATAACAATCGAATAAAATTCTTTATAGTTGAAAAAAGCTGATCCACTATTTTTAGGTGACTTTATTCTTACATGTTTACCGTCTATGGCACCCACACAGTTTGGAAAATTCCAAGATGACATAAACGCATTAGCATTTTTTTTAAGATGGTCCATTGTTGGAGGTGGAATTACTGCATTAAGTAATCTTGTCACTATGCTAGCAGACACCTTTTTTATTATAAAACTTATCCATGAATGGCAGATTCTAAATTGAAATGCCAATGATCTGAAAGATTCTCCCGTTGCGATATACCTAAAAAATTATTTTAGATTATTTTTTTAATTGTTAAATTTTGTAGATATCGAGTGCAGTAAAAGGTGGGGTTATGTACGGGATTACTACGTGAGACGCAAAGAAAAGCCAGGCGCAGGTGCCCCTGGAGAAGCAGCAAAGAAGAGAGCTGAACAACTGTCACTCTTAGACAGTTACTCCTCCCTAAAAAGAAGGTGAGTTTTCCACAATTTATCTTAAGTAGATATAATTCTTTTTTATTCTTATTTTAGCACTATTACCAATATGGGCAATCCTGAACAAAATATTCAAGAAATTGAAGACTTAGAAAAGGATTTAAATGATGATTTAGAAAACTCTACACAGGAAAAACTTGATTCCCAAAGTGGGAAACCGCTTACGGAAATTAACAATACAGATAATGACAATAACATAAATCGTGCAAGCTCAAAAACACCAAAAAGGTTAAAACATGCAGAGACCTCTGAAGAACGATTAAAATTGCTTAAAAAAATTGCTGAAAAACACAATAACGAAGAACAAGATGAAACGGACCTTTTCTTTGTATCCATGGCAAAAATAGTAAAGAAACTACCGGAAAGGGAACAAGTTTATTTAAGGTTACAAATAGGGACCATGGTAGGAAATGCGCAGTTGATAGGTCTTCAGCAACAGGACAGCACTGGCCGATCAATGTCTGCTTGTTCTAGTGCCAGCGGTAATTATAACCCTCAAAACGAATCTTCTTCTTCGACTTTGTCAAGTACTCCTCAACCTGCGTTCTCAGACTACAGTACAAGTGCAGTACCCTTACTATCTCCAAATGACTCGGAACATTTTTTACAATTTTATAATATGTAAAATCTAATACTCACCTTAGAAATAAACAAAGTTTTTCCTCTGGCGTCATTGGATTGTTATTTCTATTGTATGGTCTTGAAACAATATCATCTTTGATGTGATTTAATACGTAATCAAACAACACTGATGTCAAACGAAAATATTGTCTAAATTTTTCATCATTGGTTTGAAGGTGACGACATATTAAAATTTCGTAAACGCCTTCATTTTTTCGTTTTTTGAAAATTTCACATTTTTTCGACCTTTTCCCTTCTTCTTCTTCTTCTTATGATGAAGACGCTTCTTCTTCTAAAAATATTATCATGCCAAGTCCAAGTCATCCATTTTATTCCTACAGTTAAAAAACACGTCTTTAAGGAGATATCGCTTTAATATGAAGTAAACACCAAATCACAAAAACTGTTGTTTCTTCAATGGTTAATTAAACTTGTATCAAAATGGCGAATAATTTAAAAATTATTACCAACAAATAAGTTCAGTCATTATTATAGAAACCTTCTTACTTTATGTTTAGCTAAGATATAAATAAAATATTCAGTAATTACTGAGTAAAATAAGTAGGCAAAGTAAACTCACCAAACTCTCAGATTTCTTTTTTTCTTTCTAATTTCCACTTTCAGCTAATCAAAAACAAAACTTTGGGTGCTAAAAAACAAACTAAAATTTACGTTGTACTCTAACTTTACATCTGTGTTCAACGCTATAACGACCGTATAGTCGTTGACCGTTTTGACCAGCACATTACGACCGCTTTATTACTGTACCGCTATCTTAGGAAACCGTAGCTTAAAGCCCTCGTTTCCTCGAAAGCGGTACCGACAAATTGCGACCTCAATAATGCGACATAGAAAACTGTACCATGCAAATCATCAGCAGTGGTTTTTAAGGAAGCGTTGGTGGTCACCGCAACGCAATATGACGGTGCCGGCATAGTGAATGCGGTAGCCATTGCGGCGAGAAACAGTTCGTCAACGGTTTATTACGGGGATGGATGTGCTGTGTTTTCGTTTGATTTTATATTATAAAACTAATAAAAAAAGTATTTATGATTTATATTACAAAGTTTACGTATGTATATTGGTGTTTTCTTGTAGCGTAATGTGTTCTGTAATAAAAACACACTGAATGGACAAGTGAGTAGGACGAAATATTGATAGATTTTGTTAGAAGTCATGAATGTTTGTATAATGTTCAATATAAATATTACAGAAAAACCCAACTAAAACAAAGTTTATGGAAGAAAATAGCCCAGATACTTCAAATAACAGGTAATACAATAATACAACTTCTCATTTTCATAAAAAAATATTTATTTATTGCTGTGATTAATTTAGTTTTCTCGGTAATGCTCTACCTGCCATGCTACAGCACCGGGTCCATTAAAATACGTTTTAAATGTCTCACGAATTTGGACTGCCATATTTTCCCCATGTACATTGTTGTGAATTAGTGGAAGTAAATTTTCTGTAGGCAGTGAGTACTCGTATTTTTCTGTCGATGTCGGAAGTATATTTGCTTCTCGAAGAAGATTATATAAAATACAGGCACACATTATTAGTTTATCCGTGGTTTCCGGATGCGTAGCAATTGGCTGAAAAAATATTGGACAAAATGCACAAAGAATGCCAAAGGTGTTTACCATCAATTGCTCCAATACTTGCTTGGACATCTTTAGCGACTGAGTCATACTTGACAGTAACATCTCACTATATTGATTATGCCTGGTGTTTAAAATCAGCTGTTTTATCTACAAAGCCACTGAATGAAATAAGTCACACCGCAGAAAATTTATCAAAAGCTCTAAATGAAATTTTTATTGAATGGCAAATCGATAATAAAATAGTGTGCATTGTGACAGATAACGCAGCTAATATGATAAAAACATGCAGTCTTTTACAAAATCGGCATATGCCTTGCTTTGCACATTTAATAAATTTGGTAGTGCAAGATAGTTTACCATGTGTTGAGAACGTTTTAAAAAAAGTCAAGAGTACAGTTACTTATTTTAAAAGTAGCTATGTGGCTATGGAAACCTTCAAAAAGGAACAGAATACTAATGAAGGAAGTGCTCCTTTAAAGTTGTTGCAGGAAGCTCCTACTAGGTGGAACAGTAGTTTCTACATGATTCAACGAATCAATCAAACTAGTGAGGCCCTTAATAGAGCCTTATTGCAGCTAAAAAAAGGCTCCTGCGCCTCTTTCATTAGAAGAGTGCTGCATTCTTAAAGAAATAGAGAAAGTAATTCTTTGTTTTGAGGAGGCAACGAAAAAAATTCAAGGTATTTACTTAAAAGCTGATTTTTTGCTAATTGTTAATTTCTTTATTTTTTTTAGGTAATTATTATGTAACTCTATCTTTGATAATTCCACTGACGTATGGAATATTTACTTATTTAGACAACACTTTACCTGAGTTAAAAACAGAAGAAGGAAAACGCTTTGTACAAATTTAATAGATGCTGTAAAGACAAGGTTATTTCCATACGAAATTCGAACAGTTAGTAAATTGGGTACAATATTGGATCCTCGATTTAAGAAAGAGGGGTTTAGAAGTGCAGAAAATGCCAATTCAGCAAGTACTTTAATGGAACAAGAAATGTTTAGTCTGATGAGAAAAATGCATGAAGGCCAGGAACAAGAAAACCAAAATATTACCGAAGGTGCATTTCAGTAACCAAAGTCCTCTGAATCGACCAAAGAGTTGCCTTTATTTGGTTTTTTAAAGGAACGAATAAATGCCAAAGAAAAATCATTAAAAGCAGATGTTATTATAACGAAAAGGCAAAATCTCGAGCGTGCAAACGCCAATCAGGAAACTGATCCTTTATTATTTTGGAAGGTAAATTAGATTAAAAATACTGTTATGTTTAATTTATTTGAAATATTTTCAGGTTGCAGGTGTAGAAATGAAACCTCTGGATCGATGTGCTCAAAATTTCTTTTGCATCCCTGCAACCTCTGTTGAAAGTGAAAGGGTATTCAGTACAACGGGAAAAATTATTGAACAACGAAGAACACGATTAAAGGCTAAAACTGTGAATATGATTCTATTTTTGAATAAAAATTTATTATTGTTTTGATTATTTAAAAATTAAGTTTCATTACATTACACTTCCTCCTGCTGAATCCGCTCTGACTATCGATAATTATCGATAGTTTAGAAATGAACTATCGATTACTATCGATAGTCCGACTATCGATAGTTCTCGACCTCTGGCCCTCCACTTCTTAAGATTTAAATAACAGTGTTGAAGGGCAAGGAAAATTAGGTAATATTTTTAATTAACTTCAGGGTTAATATGTCTGATATGACCTATAAGGTACGTCATTATGACGTATGCTTGCTGCCTGGGACAGTGTAGAAAAGATTTATGATATAAAATTAATTTTAGTTGTATTTTAAAATTCATAAAATAAAATCAGTAACGTCAATTTTTATTTAAATATGCATTTTGACATCCCTTCCTAATAATCAACGACTCGTTTTCAAAATGGCTGGAAGTCCGACAAGTTCCAACGACATCTTCTACATTGACTATAATGATTCTCAGGGAATTATTTGCTACTCATGAGATCCCTGATGTGTGCGTGCCGTATAATGGAAGCTGTTTCACGTCGTTGGAATTTAAGGAATTTTTAAAAACAATGGAATTAGCCAAGTTCTTGTGGCATCTTGCCATCCTAGCAGCAACGGACAAGCTAAACGAATGGTATAAAATGTTAAAAATGCTTTGAAGAAAATGACTTGGAAAGATATTTCCCTCAAACTATCTCGCTACTTGATATCTCAACACATATCACTTCATGGAATAACGGGTAGATCTACTGCGGAGATCTTGATGGTTCGAAAGTTGAATACACTGCTTGATAAAGTTTATTCTGATTTTTCCAAAGAAATGGTAGCCAAGCAGGAAAAACAAATTCAAAACAAGCGAGTTAGATCTTTCAAGACTGTATTTTGCAATCTTTTGTTCGAGGCAAAAAATGGTTACCTTCTACCGTCATAGAAACAACAGGGCAATTAAGTTACAGAGTAGCCACACCCGATGGTAAAATAGTAAGACGTCACACATATCAATTGAGAAATAGACATACATCTTCAGTTCAGCTGGTTAAACCTAGTGCACCAGAAATAGAGCCCAATGAAGAGGCTGAATCCAAGGTTCTTAATCCAGGCGCCTCCATGACGCCTTAGACTTCTCCAACCGATAAACTTGAAAAAAAAGCGAAAATGCAGCAATTGTGAAAATACAAAAAATCGAAATAATAAAAGTATCAAATGTGAAAAACTCATTTGTCTGGAATGTTCCAGGAAGTTATGTGTAACCAGTTGCCAAGAATTATAAGTTTTATGTTTCGCATTTAAGTACATAATCAACAATAATATTTATTTACGTTGTTTTTTGTTTTTTACCCTTGTATGTTTTTATTTCTTATGTATTATAACCAATAAACGTTTGGACATAAATATTATAACATATATTTTTTAAATGTATTGCATATGCTATTTTTTTAAAATTGTGTATCTGAGAGACACATACTTCTCACAATAGACTAAAAAACGGTACTACTGGTTAAGAGATAAACTTTTTAGATGAACTTAAGTCAAATACAGGCGACCCTGTAGATTCGCAAGAATCGTCTATGCCTGACGTAGAAAACCCAATTTCGTTACCTTCCTTGAAAGATGAATTAACCATTAAGTTTTTAGATCATATTTTAGTTTATTGTAACCAAATCAATAGTTCTTTAATTTCGGGAGAACTTAAGCAGTATGACACTAATTTTAATATGCTCAAAGTTTTACAGGTTAAAGAAGTTGTTCAAGTATCTCTATCGAATGAATACATTCCAATCAAAAAAGAACTTGCTGAAAATTAGAATGATATAAATAAAAATGATCATATTTCTTCTCTTGGTGATGTCGATTCTGCTCAATGTTATCGCGATCCTGATTTCATGATTTCATCCCAAAAGATGAAGACACATTTAGTGACTTGAAACCAACTCTACTTCAAATAACGAATCTCGTCCAATGACATCGAAACCATTTCTGCTCAACCAACATCATCGTTGCATACAAAAAAAATGTCGTAAACGTAAAGCTCCACCTGTAACCTGGAAAAGAAATGAGCAAAAATTAAAAACAGTAGCTGGTAAAAATTACGTAAGCCGAAAAGGAAAATTATGCCAGAAAAACAAGTACGACATATTAATTGCTTAAAATGTAGATTTAAATGCTCAGAAAAAATCTCGAATAAACAACAAAGTGTTTTGCATCAAGGATATTGGACAGTGGCCAGAGCTGGGTTATTACATGTACTTTAAAAATAATTACAATCACGAAGTACTTTTTCAAAAATGAAATAATTACAAATACAAAGTACATGTTGTAAAAATAGCAATTATACTACCTAGTTTAATTACAATAACATGGAAAAGCAATTATCAATTACTTTTATAATAACTTTGCGAATAAAACAACAAATTATGATAGAAATGAGGAACCATAAACCAACCGGGCCAGTACGAATAACATTTTTAAATAGGTAATTCAAAATGTTCAACTAACAGCCGTTGGCAGCGACTTTCTTAAGGATTCCTTAAAGTTAAAGATACTTTAAGAGCGGGTTGTAATAAGGCTTACTTAAAGCTAAACTCGGTTTGAGATGACACATGACACCATTTAGTACTTAGGGCTTGTTAACCCAAACATTAAACTGCACCTATAGAACCTTTTACTAAACAATTTTTTATCTTCATTACAATTTGGCAACGTCGCAATGGCCCAGTGATTTTTGTTGGGACCCTCTTTTTAACTTTAATATTTAAAATAAATACATACATTTAGTTTCCGCCATTAACAACTTTCCTCTAGTTTTCGTTTTTTTTTTTAATAAATCGTTATTAACCTTCTATAGTTTTCTTAATATTTTTGGTTGAATTGTTAGTTTTTGTGGTGTTTTTTAAAAATAATATTTTTTTTACAAGATCAAGGTGGTAGTAGTACGTTAACGTCAAAAGTCAATAATGTCAAAACAAATGTCAAACGCACAAATGTAAACAGTTTGGACATTTTCGTGGAATAATAGCGATGAAACACCACAAAACGCCTTTAATGTAGTATTTCTAAATTATTCGTTCAGCAAAAAGGATTGGTATATTGATTCAGGGGCCAGCGTTCATCTGACAGCTAATTCAGAGTGGACAGAAAACAGATCAACAAATCAAAATATGCCAGAAATAATGGTAGCTGATCAAACAAAAATTCCAGTAACTTGTACAGGTGATGTTAATATTATAACAGTTGTTGGCAACAATAATCATTTAGAGGACAAGAGTATGGTATTAGGAGATTATATAGTCATGGTGTTGCCTGAGTTTTAGGCCGCCAGGAGGTGCTCACATTCAACGTCACATTAAACAATTATAATATTCAGTGATTAATGTTTAAGTTTGTTTAAATGCTTCAGCTCAAAAAGCTTTATTGGCCCACACATATGTGGATGATATTCTCACAGGAGCAAATTCGGAAGAGGAACTATATCAGTTACAAATCACGCTTACAAATAGTCTATCTCAAGCAGGATTTCATTCGCATAAATTTCGTTCCAATCTGCCTAATTTTTAAGCGTCCTTTCTGTCAACTCAGTCGAATGAAAAAGACTTAAATCTCGATAAAAATCCCCACAAATTATTAGAATTCGCTTTTGGACTCTTTACAAATTTCCACTCCAAACTCCCCTTTCGTAGAATCTCTTACCAAAAGAAACTGCTATCTTTAATTGCTCAGTGTTATGATCCATTGGGATTGGTTAATCCCGTCATAGTACAGGGTAAGTTTTTAATGCAAAAATTTTGGCTTGCAAAACATCCTTGGGACTTACCTATTTCAGACTGTTATGTAATAAACGAATGGACTGCTTATATTAAAAACATTTCTAAACTCTCTTCGTTTCATATTCCCAAGTGTTTAGTTTACAAAAAGAATATTTGTAAATCGCAACTTCATGGTTTTTCAGACGCAAGTTCCTTAGCATATGGATACTGCGTATACTTAAGAGCTCTTTATGAAGATCACACTGGTTTTTCATTTCTTATTACATCTAAATCTAGAGTTGCTCCCACTAAAAAAGTTATAACTATTCCAAAACTAGATTTATGTTCCATGGTACTTTTAGCACAATTAATATCCAGATTAGAAAGTATATTTAAAGATCTTGTCA